TATATATATATATATATATATATATATATATATATATATATATATATATATATATATATATATATATATACCGATATATATAGTATTGATAATTTATAATATAAAAATGGAATAAAATCAATTATTGTGTTAATTCTATTGATCAATTCTTTCTGATTATTAAATATTCGAAATTATAACCAAACTTCAAGATATAATTATAATCAAACTTTAAGATATAATATAAACATATAGATTTATTACATACCTGTAGTTTTACCCTCACAACGCATAGCTTCTTTTATGGCAATCTTACGTTCTTTAAAATTCCATGGTAACAAGAAGATAAAATTAAAAATCCCCATTATTACATTAATCCAACCAGCTGCCGTGTACATGTTTAAAGGTAGCATCATAAATATTACACCATGATCTCCAAGAGGTGTTACAGCAGCTTGTAATCCAGGACCTACTACAAAACCTAGAACCTATAAAATTTATTCTTATCATTTGTATTTGACCAACTTAATTATTTATTTTTATATAAAAATATAAAAATAGAAATAAGCTAGTTTTAACAAGATCATATATTAAATTCTTTTGAATCTAAATAGAAAAAGACTGCGATTATATTTGTATACTGCGACTTTATTTATATATTATATACTTTGATATAAAAATATAATAATGAAAAATTACCTGTGCAAGAGATACCATAGAAACTGCATGTGTACGTTCTGAAAGTTTTGTAGCTGCAGATAGGTAAGATCTTGCTACAGCAATATTAGCTGCAAAAATTCATATGTATTTATAATTAAATAAAAATCATTGTTTATAATTAAATAAAAAACAACATCTTCAATATATAAATCTTTATAGCAAAAATTGAGAACTTACCGGAACTAACTCCAACAAAGAATCTAGCAATGAGCATGTAGCTTTTTTTATCACCAGGTATCATTTCAAGAATACTATAAGCTGCTGATGCAACGGTAAACAATGCTAAAGTTATTAAAAGTGGCAACCTTACTGATCCTCTTTTATTACCCCACCAACCTATTAGAGGTGAAAATAACATTTGCCCAAGTGGATTAGCTGCTACTACATAACCCATAAATTCTTTTCCTGCAGTTGGGTCCAACTAAAATACAAACATATACTCAAAACATATTATATATAATTTTTATATATTATCAATATATATCTTGTTAATATATGTTATATACTTTGTCTAAGTATGGCCAAACTCCAGTAAGAATAATACTGAAGCCAAGTGACATCAAGAACATGGTAAAATAAATCATATAGATACTTCTCCATCGTTCTTTTCTTTCAAGTTCAGTTTCTAAACCATCAAGAGAAAGTTCAGGAAGCTCAGTATGTCTACAAAATTGAATATTTCATATACATATATGCATTTACAAAATATATTATTAATAATTTACAAATTATATCTAAAAGCATTGCAAATAATTCAAAATACAAATTTAACTAATAAAATTATTTTTTATTTAGTTTCTTTCAATAATATCATTAATAAGCAATATTTTAAAATCTCTAACAATAATTAATAATAAAAATTGAAATACAATTTACCTTCTGACAAAAAATTTCTTACAACGATCCATTAAAAAATTTTTACATTATTTTCTTCTATATTTAAAAGATAGGAAATTTTTTGTCAAAGATACAAATCAATATTTTTACAAAGCACATCAGCATATGATATATGGATCATCAACCTAGTGTGTGAATAGAGACATGTAGTTAAAATTTTTACAATTAAAGTTTTATATTAAAGTTATATTGCATATACATTTTTAACAAAATTAATGTTTAAAATATTTGTATTTATATTAAATATTTATATTAAATTACAGTAAATAATATTAAATAATAATAGTAAAGTTAAATAATCAAATTAATTAAATAATTAAACATAAAAATAGTAATAAAATAGTAAAAAATATTTCTATATCTATAAATAAATATTTATAGATAATAAGATCCATAAATAGTAAATTATTAAGTTTAAATCTTAAAAATAGAACTTTTTTATATGTATCTATAAATACAAATACAAATAAATACAAATTTACAAATAACTTTAGTTGTATATTTTTTTCAAATTATAATTATTGAAAAAAC